GAAAAAAGAAGGGAGGGAGAAAGGAAGGGAGGGGTAACTGGGATCAATGCACAAAATAAGAAAAAAAAAACGAAAGGAAGGAAGGAAGGAAGAAAGAAAGAAAAGAAATTGGCCCCTTCTTTTCCTCAGCTTCACCCCTTGCATCTTATACCATCCCACTGGGAACTTTATGGGGGCTCACAATTATTTCTTGTTTACACTCGAGTGTTCTGGTATTTAAAATCTAAAGTAATGTGTTTTCAGGGAGGATTAGTGACAGGGACAGAGGCAACTACCATACTGCCCAAGACAAAAACAAAGCTCTTTTGGCTTTCTAAGGTGACCTCCGCGTATTTTTCCTTGACTCTGAACCTGCACAAAACACACTTGTTAATCAGTTTCCTTTCAACATATTTCTCTGTTTTCATTTTTATTTATTTGACACCCAGACCACAGTTTCCCCACCCTCGTCTCCTCACACTCCCTCTCCCCACCTCCTCCCTCAATCCATTCCTCTCTTTTCAGAAAGGGGCAGGGCCTCCCATGGGTATCAGCAAAGCATAGCACATCAAGTTATGGTAAGACTAAGCACCTCCCCTTGTGTTCAGGTTGGGCAAGGCGATCCAGGATGAGGAATAGATTCTCAAGAGCCAGCCAAAGGACCAGGGGCAGCCCTGCTCCTTTTGCCAGGAATCCCGCAACTAGGCCATACGTCACAATGGTCACATGGATACAGAGGGCCTAGATCTTGGGCCGCGTCACCGCTGCACTCATCCCCCGCAGCCATGTCATAAGTGTAGCCTGCGTAGGTCGCTAGAAGCTGTGGACACCTGTCAATCACAGACAAACAAGCGGTCGTGAGGCCAGAGACAGGAATACATATTCCCTGGTTGTTTGTTCAGACTCTGTGAGGTCCCATGAGCCAGATTAGTTGTTTCTGCTGGTTTCCTTGCCATGTTCTTGACCACTGTGGCTCCTACAATCCTTCTTCCCTCTCTTTAGCAAGATTTCCCAAGCTGGCCCTAGTGCTTGGCTCTGGGTCTCTGCATCTGTTTCCATCAGTTATTGGATGAAGGCCCACTGATGGAGTAGTTACCAATTTGATCACAGGAAATGACCAGTTCATACTACTTATCCACTACTACTAGGAGTGCTAGTTGGGGTCATTTGAATATATTTCTAATCTCTAGGTGTTAGCAGGAGGGAACCTGTGAATTTGCCTAACTAGATTATCATGAGGTAGAATTTGGAACTTTCCTGGCTGCAGTAAACTATTTAGTATAATAAATAAATGACTTATCTATAATTTCCTTTATAGATAACCATATATGAAACCACCACTGGCCCATTTATTTTATTTTTTATAACAATATGAAAAGTATTGGGTATCATTATGTCATTTTCAAACAAAGCGTGTTACAGTTATTTGGTTCTCCTTGGGTATCTCTTCATTATCCCCATCTCCTTCTTGCCTACCTTCTTGAACCCCCCCCCACCCTCATTTTCAGCTTTTCAGTCATATATATTCTCTATGCTTCCCTCTACTGGGGAATCTCAATTTCCTATCTGTTCTGTTCTTTCTAGATGCATTGACTTTGCCTATGTTTATACCCATTTTTAGGTATGCATGTACAGATTACATACTAAAGTCTGCTTGTGAGAAAGAATATGCCATTTTTGTCTTTCAGAATTTGGGTCACTTTAGTTAGTATTAAAACGTCTAGATACATCCATTTGCATGCAAATTTCATTTTTCCTTACATCTGAGTGAAATTTCATTGCATATATGTACCAACTTTTCACTACCCATTTATTTCTTAGTGGAAATCTATGCTGGTTCCATTTCTTAGCTATTGTGAATAAAGAGCAAAATTCATGAATGTGCAATAATCTTCTTGGTAAGATATGGAGACCTTTTGGAAGTATGCTAAAGAATGGCAAATCTAGGTAACATGAAACTTTAAGTTTTAGAGAAATCTCAATATTGATTTTTGTATTTACTAGTTTTCATGCCCACCAGCAGTGACTATGGGTCACTCTTTCCCTACATCTTAGGCAATTCTGTTCTCATTTGTTTTATTGATGGTAGCCATTCTCACTGGCCTGAGAGTCTTTCTAACTTGCATTGCCTTAATGATTAGGGGAATGAACTACTTTTGAAAATGTTTATTGGCCAATAATTCTTTTGAAAACTATATATTCCACTGGCCTGTTTGTTGCTTCACAGGAGACTTTAGCAGCTCCAATTTGGAAGTTCTTTGTAAAACCTGGAAATTAGTTCCATCTTTGACATATATTGCTGGAAAAGATTTCCTCCCATTCTGCAAGCTATTTGTCCCACTGATAATGTACTTCCTATGCAAAAACATTTCCACTCCATGTAGTCTGTTAATACTTGGAGCTCTTCCCTGTTCTGTTGCAGTCTCACTTCAGAAGGTTCCTGCCTATACCCATATCTTGAAGTATATTTCCTAGCTTTTACCATGACCAAATATTAATCCAAAGTGGACCAACTATCTTAATTTAAAACCACAATTTCGTTTCAGGAATCAACCCCTTTCTTAGTTCATTTTTTTTCTATTTCACTCTAAGCCACCCCATCCCATGGCTAAGTTACTGTTTTCTTTTTCTTCTGCCAAGCCTCCATTAAATTATGCAAGTGTAATTACCTTTACAGGCAACTGCATGAATGGCCACCATGATTCCATTTATTTTACTTTTTATTAGCTTGCTAAGTGGGAACATTATGTATATTCAGCTATTTCAGGTCTAAATGTGGATCTCTTGGTCTTTAAAGTTTCAAGTGAAGTACTTTAACATAAAAGACAAGGGAATGGATGGAGGCTACTACTGGACTTCAGAAGATTTCTAAGTACAGCACTTTAGTATTACATGACAACTTCTGTGGCCTTTTCCCCCTCAGTCTGTACATAAGCCAAACATACTTGTGAATCAAGGTCACCCTTCAAAACATTTTTAATCTCTAGCTCTTAGGGTGAATCAGTTGGTTTATATAATTAAATTGGTATGAGGTAAGATCCAGAAATTGCCATGCTCTGATAAACCACAATGGTAAAATTTCTTTTACAGTTAATTACATATAAAAAGCCACCCAAGACTTCTCATCCCGAATGGAGAAATACTGCTTCATCCTTCAAGAACAACAAAATGTACATTCCAGTCAACGCCTTCAACCACAATATTTTAACTGCTTCCACTCAAACAACTGCTGATGAACAGAAAATTTTCCTCAATATGAAAATAATGGAATACCAGCACAACAAACTTGATAACACCGTTTTCATCAGGGGTTTATATGGTTGTGTTAAAATCCTGAAAATTCCCACTGTACAAGTTCTGAATGATGACAGTGATACTAATGAATAAAATCATGATTGGATTCAGCTGATTATGTCTTGAAAAAGAGATTTTATTTAAAGGAGTGGGCATGTCAAGTACAGATTCCACACACTTACTGCTTTGCTTACATTTTATTTTAAGACTCAATTACATGGCCAATATAGATTACAGAAGAGGGATGTAGAAGTACAGAAAAGGAAAGGCAGTTCAAAAGTTTATAGCTGACATAAAAAGCAATGATATCTTCATTTAAGTTTGAAATCTAATGGCTTGCAGCCTAATACTGCAATTGTCTACAAGTTTAATCAAAGTGAGAAGAATTACATGGAGCTGTTTATTATGCAGATGACTGCTTACTATTAGTATGAAATCTTTATAATATAAAGATCATTTGCCACCTTGCAACATAAGTTTTTCCATAAATTAAGATGGTGATTAAGATCTATTTTTCTTCACACTTGATAGTAGTGATACAAGTCTTTCAGCTTTTGAAAAAAAATTCTCTCTGCCCAAATTTTCTCTACAGATTCCAAATGTCACCTAAAATTTGCATGCATATATTTAATTAGTGCAAACCCCAACCCTCAAATATGTGGGAGAATGTTTCAATACAGTTTGAATTTCAATGAAAATTTTTTTCCAAATTTTAGTCCATCATCTGGCTCACATAGTATACTATAAAAACATTAACTGAGACTTAGGTTCTTTAATCTGGCTCACAGCATTGAATTTATCCACAAAGATAGCCTTCAAAGTATCAAGACAAGTTCATCTTATATGTGAATCATTGAGACAAGTTACTTATAGGTCTATTGTGATGCCTTCATGCCACCTCTTTTCCAAATCACTCACTTCTACTAATTAAAGAGATACATTAACCAGTTTGCTCATTTGATCTTTGATCAAAAGAAAAAGGAAGGAGAAGATTTGATGCATGAAAAAAAGGAGTTCCTTCTTGGTACACAGTTGCCAAGTACAAATTAGGTGGCAGTACATGGTTAAGTTTCTTTCTTGAGTTACAAGTTCCTTTGACATTTTCATGAAAACAATGGACTCACTCTCTCCCCCCAAATGCAAATCTACATCCAAAGAAAATGATACAGTTTTAGTCTTGTGAGCTCCTAAAGCTCAGCATGACTCTTGAAATGTTCCCTACTTAAGGTAAGTTTCATTATCCTAAGCTGTGATTTTAAATTATATGTCAAAAATATATAATAAAGCACAAGGTGTCATCATTTGTGAGGAAACAAGAGTATAAACTTTTTATTAGTGACAACTAATTAACAATTAACATTAATATATAAATGTTTTATTACTCTTAGGCAAAAAGGAATCCATAAAAGAATATTATTACTCTTGAACTGTTAGGCATATATCATTATCAAAATGCCAGATCAATAAGAATTTCATCCAAATTCTATATATAATTGAATCTATAATTCAGAGAATGTAATGAAATACTTATTTTTTTGAAACTCAATAGAAATTTAATGAGTGGTTTTTATTCCAAATACAACCTAAAGAGTAAAGTTTACATAGAAAATCTGAATCATAATAAGTGAATGACATGTTTAGACATATTTGGATCATAGGTATTATACAGTCCTCATATCATATACAGCCCCTCTCCCTACATGTTTGTTATATGTCTTTTTTTTAAAAAGATATTCATTTTTATTTTCTGTGTATAGGTGTTTTGCCTGCATGTATGTAAACCATATGCATTCAGTGTCATGGGGGTCAGAAGAAGACATTGGATGCCTTAGAACTGGAGTTACAGATAGTATTAGTCACTATGAGGATGCTGAGAATTGAACCTACATCCTCTGCCAGATCTCTTAACCATTGAGCAATCTTTCCAAGCCCCATTTGTGACTTTTATACATGATACTTCACTCGTGTAACACTTGCCTGTAACTACACTGACTCATTGTTTGCCCATCCTATGAATCAGAAAAGTGCATTAAGACTAGTGAAACAAATGTTGTTTAAATCGCCAAGTACAAAGCATCACTACTTCACAGGAAACCAGTATACTAAAAAAAAAAAAAAAAGAAATGTTAGTAATATTTACAAAATGTCATTGTAAAACAGAACTGGGTATATGTATTAACAAATAGCTAATCCTTAAGGGAAACAAGCACATTATTAAACATTCATAAATTCACATTTTTATATTTCATTCTTGATTGGATAAAAAAGTACTTAACAACTCTATACTGAGTGTGACATGTATATTTACCTGCTTGATTGACACACAAATAAATAAAAAAATCCCCTACTCTACAAATCACATTGTATAACAATCAGATATTTTCAATAGGGATATCTTATTCTGGTTTTCTACTGCCACTAATAGTAGGTATTTCGTGGTCAGTTTCCTTTGCAGGTTCAACCATGTTTTTGTATCTCTCCCCACGATGTTTTTCCAGGTATGGGCCCCAATTAGATGCTGGTCTACAGCAGCTTATGATACGCTGAAATGCAACAACAAAATCTTGTGTTAGAATTTAATTGCTATCATTGGTTTATAAAAGCAAATATTAAACTACACTTTTATTGTGATGTAACAACCACAAAAATATAAAGAAGTGATAACCTAAACAACGCCACTGAACAAATTGTCAAATAAATTGTTGTTAATTGTTAATTGTTCTACTAAACCAAAACTAGTGATTTCAAAAGAAAGGTGTCTGAGGCCATGCTGTCACTCTAGGCAGCTTTCCTGAATTCATTTTAGTCCCTATTTCAGAAGGTCAGATTGAGAGGTAAACTATTGTGCATTTGAATATGGAAAACCACAGAGACAGCTGAACCAAGGTGTGAATTGACAGTTGGAGAACCTGCATGGTACCACACTAGACAATCTAAATGTGGGTGAAAGTTATATGTCTTGGTCTGTTTGGTGGCTTCCTGGCAGTGTCACCAAGATGTATCCCAGGGGCAAGAACTGGCATTTTGGAGCCCATTCCCTATGGTGGGATGCTTCACTCAGTCTTGATACAGGGAAGAGGGACTTGGTCCTGCCTCAACTTGGTATGCCAGACTAGTTGACTCCTCAAGGAAGGCCTTATTCTCTCTGAGGAGTGGATGGGGGATGAGAAATGGGCAGGTGGGGGAGAAGGGGAAGGAGGGGGAACTGGAGTTGGTATGTAGAATGAAAAACAAATTTTTTAAATAAAAAAATAGTGAGATAAGGGACTTCCAGGTGCCAAACAATTTATTTGGATCTGTTCTTAGTTATACACAGGAATTTACTGAAATAGAGTCTCCTAAGCCTACCTTGTCATTGCTCTAGTATGAAGACTTAAGTCTATCACCCTAAGCCTCTGCAGAAGAAAGATGATTCAAGGGCTATAAGGGATGCAAGACAATTTAAGCTCCTTCAGTTTAGATACACTTAGGATTTGCATTATACCCAGATGAGGATTCAAAAGAGATTACATATAGAAAAAACAAATGAGTCATATGATTTTTGACAGAGATCACAATTGTTACATGCTGAAGAGTATAATAGTGCCTGAAGATACAGTAACGAACTTTAAAAAAAAAAAACTTATAATGAAATACAATATATATAACAGAAATAATATTGGGTATAGAAGCAGTCAGAGGGAAGGGTGGTTATTTTCATCCCATGTACTCTCTTATCTCTTCCTACACACCTGCATTTTATCACAAATGCTTATACAAAATAAGAATTGAATATGCTTACCTGCAGGATGTTTCCTTCAGCCTGAACTATTTTTATGATTGCCATAATTGGTATCCAAACAATGCAGAAAATAATCATACACCAGCCTAGAGCAACCCCCCAGTCAGGATATGGGATGTCAGCATACTTAGGTCTGTGAAATTTCACCAGTGACCAGACTAGAATGGCCTAAGAAAGCAACACAAGGAAAAGATCATGTTAGACTAAAGGATTAGACTTGGTATTAACAGTAAGTCATAGTTTGAAATTTATCAAGCAATAAAATGGGGACCTAAGATAAATTGGTAACAAGACAGAAGACAGCAATATAATGTGAACCAAATTTCTATTTTTATTTTGAAGAAATTCTGAAAACTTTAAAACCTCCACTTATTTATAAAAGAACTATTTACTCAACCTATATTCAAAACCCTTGATTATACATGAATAAAGTAAATTTGAGGTGTGTTTTAATGCCAAGCCGTTGATGTGTTTTCTTTTGTGTTATTTCATGTGTGTGAATGTTTTGCCTGCATGTATGTCTGTGCACCATGTGCATGCCTGGTGACCACAGATACCAGAAGAGGACAACAGAGGCCATGTAACTCGATTTGCAGTTGTAAGCTGCTGTGTGCATGCTGGGAATGTAACCTAGTTCTTTTGAAAAAGCAGGAAGTGCTTTTACCCAATGGGTCATCTCTCTAGTCTAACTTTTTTCTTTTGTTTTTGGAAATAGGTTTCTCCTGTATATCCCTGGCTGGCCTGGATGTAGACCAGGCTGGCCTTAACTCAAAAACCTATTTCTGCTTCTGGCATTTGAGTGCTGGGATTAAATATGTCTACCACTGTGCCTGGCCACTTCCTTTTTAACAGATAATCAAAAGTATAAAACTTGACATAAGTGTGGTACCATATTATATTTTCAAATGTGAACATGCTATATAGTATGTATACCAGGCTAAATACTTACTTTCTCAAACTTTATCCTTTATGGCAACTTTCATAGCTCCTTCTCCTATTATAAAGTTTGAAATTATGTAGGACATTATTGTCCATTTTTGCTCCTATTAAATTATATAGCAGAGTTCCTTATTCCAATTGAACTGTAACTTAGTATGTACTCTCCAGACCCCACCACCAGTGTTCAAGATTTCTGATTATTGTCATTCTATTTTCACTTCAACCAGATAACTTATTTATGTTCCTCATCTGAGTGAATTTCTGAAGTATTACTTGTACTATGCCTGGCTCGCTCCACTTAATATCCTTCCCTTCAATTCATGTCAAAATTGTAAAGATTTATTCATTATATTGCTGAATAGAATTCAGTGTATACATACATGTACCACATTTGCTTTTTTTTTTTACTTTTGTCTGTTTCTTTTTTTTATTTAAATTTGCAACAAGCTTGTTTTACAAGTTAAGTCCAGTTCCCTCACCTCTCCTCCTCCCTTTTGTTTTGCTATGTAGTCTAACTCTACAGCTCAGGCTGGTCTTGACCTTACTCTGAAACCATGGAACCCATTCTGTATTAATTTTCTGAATGTTTTCTGTGCCAGTATGGACAACCATGCCTGGTATCTATACTAAGTTTCTCGTTGGCTTCATATAGTCATCATTTGGCAGACAGGTCAGCTCTTTTCATTCCTTGGCTGGTAGTGAACACTGAAGTACACATAGCTTTACAACATATTGACTTAATATCTTTGAATATATCCAATAGTGGAACTGTTTACATGGCTGTGGAATAAAGAGAACTCTTGCATACTATTTTTCAGAATGTAAATTACTACAATCACTATAGAAAACATTATAGAGTTGTTTATTCATCACCCCTCTTGTGGGTACATATACAAGAAGATTGAACAGTTAGCATGGCTTCATTCTATACCATAAGCTTGCCAACATATACATTAAAAATTCAGTAAGAATGAACATACACTAAAGAGATACATTTCTGACCTTCCTTAACAACTGCTTATTATGCCACCCATTCAAATTTAAACACATAGTACTGGCACATGTTTACCAAGGCAAATTCCCTCCTAGCCTCTTCTTGACCAAAAAAGTTTGATGATGTAAGTTCAAGTAGTGTGGAAAAATAAAGTGAGATTGATCTGAAATCTCAGCGTTGAAATGATGGAGGCAGGAGGAGGATCAGGAGTTCAAAGTAATGCTCAGCTACATTCTGATTTCAAGGCCAGCCTGAAATACAGAAGACCCTGTCTCAAAAAAAAAAAGGTGATAAAATTCAATAATCACTTCTCAACCAGTAGGTTGTAACCCTTTGGGAGTCAATTGACCCTTTCACGGGAGTCACCTAAGACCATTGGAAAACAGAGATATTTACAGTACTATTCATAAAAGTAGCAAAATTACAATTATGACGTAGTGATGAAAATAATTTTTTGTTTGGGAGGTCACCACAACATAAGGAATGATATTAAATGGTTACAGCATTAGGAACTTTGAAAAATACTGTTTAAATGATTTTAGATAGGTTTTTAAATTAATTTTTATTTAAATTAAAAACAATCTTATTTTACATACCAATCTCATTTCCCTATCTCTTCCCATCACCCCACTTCCCATCATGTCCCTTTACCCCCTCCATCCACACCCCAGGGAGGGTGAGGCCTCCCATGGGGGAATCATCAAAGTCTGAAACATCATTTGGGGCAGGATCTAGGCTCTCCCCCATGTATCTAGACTGAGAGAGTATCCCTCCATAGGATACTTTTCAAAATTCACTAAAAGTAAGGCATTTAGGAGATTCTCTTGGAGCTAATATTTGACTTATACTATTCTTTTCCCAAAATAAACATATTTCACTACTGAACTGATACACACACACACACACACACACACACACACACACACACACACACACACATGCAATCCACACTTACATATAGGAAAAGAAGATATTCAGTTGGAGCTGGTAAGGGAATTATTGAGAACAAATAAAATCATACACGTATACACACATAGGAAGATTCATGTATTTACTAACAAAATTAATTTTGAAAAGCTACCAATCAGGCCTTATATGGGGGGAAATCCATTAATCCCAGCATTCAGGAGGTAGGAGCATGCAGATACTTGAGCTTTCAAGGCCAGCCTGATGTACATAATGAATGCCAGACCAGTCAGAGATACATAGTAATACTCTGTCTCGAAAAACAAACACAACCTGTTATCAACCTTTACTCAAGGAGTACTAATAATATGTTTTATTTCTTTGCTTTGGTCTATTTTGATTCCCACCCAAGGAGAATGTGTCAAAGATTCAGTTCTTTAACTTTCAGAGATACTTCCACTATGAGAGACTAGAGTCTAACTTCTATGAGTCTGAGGTGTATCTTTATTGTGAGCACATCTGCAGTTTTGGGGCATCAGTTGGGAAGCTGAGATAAATCTCTGTTGCAAGTTTTTTCAGTGCCATATAAAGTGGCTAAATAGAATAGTAATTAAATAAAAAGAGTAGGTTAGTAATGAATATACTCTATTCTAAAGAGAGGGAGATTGAAAGGTTATCATAAAATTTAAAAAGGAAGGGAGCTTGACACAAAGACTGAGGACATGAGTTCAATCCCTAGAACCTGCAAGGAGAAAAGAGAGAAGTGACTCTCACATGTTGTCCTCTGACCAAGAGTGCTTCCCCCCTCTCTCTGTAGTTTAAGAAATAAGTGCTAGAACAGCTGGGAAATGTAGGGAAGCAGAAGATGACATGGTGAAATGGAGTGGGCTATACATAGCTAGCCAGTGTGGGGAAGAGAAACAGAAGCCCAATCTAAGTGGCAAACCACATAACTCTGATGAAAATGTTTGGCAATCCTAATTATATCACATGCCAACAGTTCTCACAAGTCTTGGATCTATTTACAGCATTTGATGAAACAGTGACTCATCCTGTGTCAGCATTGGAGAGGAAATCCATTTTGTTACTCCCCATGTCTGGTAGGGCTATGACTATGAACCATCTAGACTTAATATGCCCACCAAAGTGTCACACTTGATAATTGCAGACACAGCCTCAAGCCAAGTTTAAGTGAACAGCCCAATGGCTGTCTGCCACCTGGGTCACTACAAGCAAAGAGGAAAGCTTCCTCAATCCGGGTTTTCATCCTCTACTGCTTTCTCAACATTCCCTAAGGTGTTTGAAGTTTAGCAGGATTTCATAGCACACAAGCTTGAGTATACAAACTAGAGATTATGGTCCATGGCTAGATCTGCCAATGGTATACAAAGCTAAGTGTAGCTAGCAGAGATTCCTGGTATACAAAGAAGGGAAACTCATAAAAATAAGAAGTACTGCTAGATATTTGACCCTGAACTAGCTAAGGATAAGCCCACAAGGTAAGAAAGACCAGAGACTCATTGAACCCACACCTCCATATAGCAGACTACAGATAAAAGAAAACCAGAAAGAAAGGGTGTTCTAATACTTGGTAATCTTTTGTGGTAAATACAAACAATAGAGTTTTATTAAGTCATAATGAAGAACAAAATTACAATATTTGTGGAAAATAAGTATAATTGGAGATCGTTGTGCTAAGCAAAATAAAGTGGGCTCAGAAACATCAAATTTCCCATCATGAAGAAGGGAATACCACTCAGTGGTAGACTTCTTCCTTAGATAAGAAAAGTCCTAGTTGCAATCACCAGTAGGATCAGAAAAGAAAAGGTTAAGAAGTCTATTTAGACTTTGTAAGTTTACAGGATGATTATTTTACTGAAAAAAAAAACTTTTCAAATAAGGACAATGATATTCAGTGGCACTTCCAAAGACATCTAGCAAGTCTATGAAGCATACAAATGTTTAGATTCTTCATATATATTCTACTCACTACCTAAAATGATATCAAAATGTTAAATACAAAATCTAGCACATCTAAAAACAATCAAATATTATGCCATGAAAGTGAATCAAATGTAACTATTTCATGGTGTTCTCTAGGAAGTCCTTCCTTTGACTGTCATGATTGTAATAACACATCTTCAAAACTTTGCTACTCTCTACCTGTGTGATTAACTTGGGACCATAGTAATTGTCCATCTTGAGAACTGTTCAATTTTGGCACTTGGAAACTAATTTACTGGACTGATCTTTGAAGATCTTAGATCTATGTGTCAAAGAAGCCATTGTTCACTTTTCTCAGCTCCTATGTAGTGTCAATCATTAAATTTTGTATATAAACCATTATACATACTGACAAAAGTGAGCTTCTTTTTGTAATTTCAGATAATAAATACCTCAGCAATCAACTAAAAAGTACAAACTAATATTTTAATGTTATTTTTTAAACATTTTATTTATTTAAAGACCTCATTTGGCTGAGCAGTAGTAGCACACTTGGGAGGGAGAAATAGGCAGATTTCTGTTAATTTCAGGCCAGCCTGTGCTACAGAACAAGTTCCAGGACAGCCAGAACTACACAGACATATCTCAAAAACCCAAAACAATAAAAAAATAACAAAATAAAGACATCATCTGATTCTTCTCTGGCTTTGTAGTTTCTGGCAGAGAAGTTAATAAATATCTCACCATATCTTTCAGATAATGATTAAATTTATGATTTTCTTTTATTTATCTTACTGATATTTTTATCCTATTGGTCATTTTTAGTTGCTGATATCTTTAATTTTATAGAGAGCTCTTTATTGTCTCAAAAGGGCAATGTTCAAACCCATGGCCTCAAAAATAATACTGCAAGAGCATTTTAATTCAGTCAGTGTGAAGACACCTGCAGTAAAAACTACAAATTTGAAAATGACTTGTCCCCCAAATTAGTTACTTATTTTCTCAATGGGAATTGTTCTCCGAGTTCCTTACTAACATCTAAAGATATGAGTTATATTGGCTATATCAAATTCATTGTATAATGCTACTTACAGACAACAATATAGGTGTGATGACAAACCAGCAAGCTTTCCACCAGAGCCAGAATATCCATCTCTTTGCTCCAATCATCATTTCTATGTCTTCAATGAATCTATTCCCTCCTAAAGAAAACAATTTCAGACTATGAGCCCTTTCATATAGGGTTCCATTGAGATTATCATAAGTATTTTCTTCCTTCATTTAAACACATTGCTAAACAGCAACAGTGAATCATACACCTGGAACTCCATTTCATTCATAATGCATTTTGCTCAACAGGTCACATTTTACTATTATATGTGTAATTACAATTGAATGACTACATAATCTTAATGAAAAGAAAAGCAAATGATGTTGTATAAGTCTTATAAACAAATGTGCGATCAACACTTACCATAAATCCAGATGATTCCTGCAATTTCCAAGATAGCTGCAATCAAAATCCCCCATCCAGCACAGAAGTGATCAATCAAGTTAACCCAATAAATTCCAGCCTGCAAGAAAACAAAACAAAAAAAGAAAACCAAACTCACACCAGTTTTTCACAATCATATTTTAACTATTTTTTCATTTTTGTGAAGTATTTAAGTAGAATACATTTAAACAATACATGAAAAGTATGTTTCATGTATAAACTTAGATATGGGTTTAATTACCTAAAATAAGTTTTTTTCTAATATACTACAACATTAACAAAATGTAAGCATTTAGAAAAGTTAATATAAATGGCCTATAGTAGCTATGATCTCTGTATCTATAGTATCTATGAGTATCTATAGTACTTACAGTATGTAGGTATTACATACTATATACTATACTATGAATTCTGTAAAAGCCACCAAGAAAAATACAGTTTATAATCATTTTGTTATTTGGAAAAATGTTACTATTGGACCTCCTCCTCCTCTGAGAAACATGTACTAGAAAAGATACAAAGGAGAGAAACCAGCATTGGACTGACTCAGACCCCCTGAACAAGGGTCTCAGTTAGAAGGCCTGGACAGTCTAAGGAACCTCTGACAGTGGAACCAGGATGTATCCCTGGTGCACAAAAGGACTTTGGGAGCATATTCCCCATGGAGGGACACTCCCTTAACCTAGAGGCAGGAGGGAGGGCCTAGTCCCTACTCCAAATGACTTGACAGATTTTGTTGATACTTCCTGGAAGGCACCACCCTCCTTGTGGAGTGGGGGGGGGATTGAATGGAAGGGTGGTCAGGAGGCATGAAAGGGAGGGAAAGGGAACTGGGACCAATTAGAACAAGAAGAAGAAGAGGAGACATATATATATATATATATATATATATATATATATATATATATGTTAAGTGAATATATATATATATATATACATACACACACACACACACACACACACACACACACACACACACATATATATATATATATATATATATATATATATGAAAAAAGATACAAAGGAGAAAATATCCTGGATAGAAATACACTTGTCACAAAACACCCCCTTGAACCTTAACATATTTTTATTTAAAAGTATATTCCAAATAATATCTGTCTACAGAAGTTAAACATTATACTGTACCTGAGTCACACAGACAAGACCAAGAAGAAACAGAATCAAGCAGCAACCCAAAGTGATAGGAACCCTCATGCGTTTCATTGCTTTGGGAAACAAATCTTGAATTGTTGTTGTAATTGTTTCTAGAGGAGATGGAATGAGTTGTTACGTTTCAATGAAGTAAGACTGGTCACAGAACTCAGTATCTATTAATGAAATTTACACATATGAACTGGAAGTATACTCTGGGAATTACTCTTTTCTAACAGTCAAGAAGGTTCTCTCTCTATTCTTCCCCACCCCTTACCCCTTGTGTGTGTGTGTGTGTGTGTGTGTGTGTGTGTGTGTGTGTGTGTGTGTGTTCAGCCTCAAATGGGACATCTGTAGCACATACACACACAGACACACAGACAAACACACACACACACACCAAGATTTAGGGACCATCACAGAAGAGAGAACAGAAAGGTTTGATCATGACAGAAGCAATGAGCTGACAGCAGCTATGCCTGTCTACAAAAGATCAAGTCAATCAACATTCCGGCCCAGAGGGAGAGAGAGTTAAGAGTTTTCTGTAAAGGTATGGCAGTTGGTGGGTCATCAGTACTCAGATTATGTATATGGGCAGGACAAATTGGACTTAGTACCTTATTAAAGAAAAACAAAGATGTGAAATCCAGAAGGATATAGAAGTGAGGGTTGATTTGGGATGAGTTGGATTTTCATTTGATCTAATACATTGTATGAAATACTCAAATATAAAAATAAAATAATAAACTTGTTTTAAATTTTCTAGTTGTAAACCTTCAGGAAATATCTTTTGTACACATAGAACCATATTTTTATTGCGTTTATTGTGTGAAGTGTGTGTGTGTGTGTGTGTGTGTGTGTGTGTGTACAAGCATATATGTAGTGGTGCATGTACACCAGTGTGTTCCATGTAAGTAGGCAGAGGTCGATCTCATTTGTTGTTTCTCAAGTGCTTTTTGAGGCAGTTTTTCACTGAACCTATAGCTCACAAATGGACTCTACTAGCTAACTAGTGACCACACCCCTAAGGGCTGCTCCTGTCTCCATCTCTCCAGGATTGGGATTACAGGGATGTGCCACATTACCCAGATTTTATAAGTATACTGGACATTACACTAAGGTCATAATGACTGAACAGCAATGACTTTTCCAATTAGGACTACTTCCCAACTTCAGTGTATAGAGTTTTTAAAAGAGGAATCAAAATACCCATCAATATGGCAATATGTTATCAATTAAATAGGCCCTTACATCTTGGTAAGTAGCATATATACTTAAATCTGTGTTACTCATATACATTCATATGTATGTATGAATACACACATGCCAAATTATTGCCTCTACAAAAAAATGAGAAATTGTAAGAATTTTGTTAAAACTCAAGCAAGAATCAAGTTTCCAGGGAGAAATGAGGTTGTCCAGGGCACTGTTCCCAAGTAGAGAGGGCAGGGAAGAGAAAATGGTAGCCATTTTTCCATTGCTTTGAATAGTGCACATTGAATTAAGAAACAAATACAAAATTCTGACTAAAGGAACCAAAACATGAGCCCCTTCAAAAGACTTATCTGGAGAAAATATACTACAGCATTATTTTTTTTAGTGTCAAGTATATAAATATATATATTTTATAGATATATAATATTTTATATATTTAAGTTTTAAATTAAAATAACACATAAAATTCATTCTGTTAATAGCACTTAAAAGGAAATACCATGACAATAAAACAGGATGCTCTCAAATAAGGGAAATGGGAATAAAATATCAGAGACAGTTAACACCAAAAGTACTACTTACCAATAGAAGCAAATTGAGAATCCAGACCCAATGTTAAAAGCATAAAGAAAAATAATACAGACCAAAATGGACCACCTGGGAGTTGGGCTAGAGCTTCTGGATAGGCAATGAATGCCAAATCAAAACCTAGAAAAATGTGGCATATTTTAAATTAATTGCCAAGAAAAATTACAAATTCAAACATTTTTCAGAATATTGTACTTTTCAAATTCTATCATTTGACAATGCATTCCATGACATGTACTTTTTACCAATTAATTCTTACAATGTTTTATTTGGAAGCCAGAAAGGTGGATTATTGGGTAAAAGCACTTGTCACTCAAGCTTGATGACCTGAGATGGATCCCCAGAACTCAGAGTGGAAGGAGAGAATACATTTTCGAAAGTTGTCCTCTGACCTCCACACAAACACTGTGACATGAATACTCACTTTCTCTCTCTCTCTCTCTCTCTCTCTCTCTCTCTCTCTCTCTCTCTCTCTCTTTCTCTTTCTCTCATGCCCTTACCCTCTTTCTCTCCTTCAGTCTATCTATCCCTCTCTCTAATACATAGTAATAATAAATATACAAAATGTTAATAAATATACAAAATGTTTGAATTATTATACAAATGTGAACGTGTGACATGAGTTAAGCTAGTACAATTTTTCTCAAGAAACTTGCTTTAGAATTTTAAATCGTGTGTGTGTGTGTGTGTGTGTGTGTGTGTGTGTGTGTGTGTGTGTGTGTATTCATTCATGCATGAGTTCAGGAATCCAAGTGCCTTAGAGTGCATATGCAAAGAACAACCTTGAATGTTGGTCTTTGCTTTCTGTCTACTTGAAATGTGGCCTCTGTTGTTTTTCTGCTGTATATTCCCAGGTATTTGGCTCATGAGAAAGAATTCTCTTACCTTTGCCTCTCATCTCCACATTGAAGTTCTGTATTACAGATTTTCAAACTGTACATAGGCACACTGTGTGTGTGTGTGTGTGTGTGTGTGTGTGTGTGTGTGTGTGTGTGTGTGTATTTGGGAGATTTGAACTCAGGTCCTCATGCATAGATAGCAACTGGCTTTATCAAGTCCTTCATCAACTGATTGACGGAAGGTGTGATGACACACACCTGTTATCCCAGGATCAGGATGTAGGGGAAAGGAGGATCAGGAATTCAATGTCATCCTTCACCTATACTGAATTTGACACCAGTTTGAGCTAGTCACACCATTTTGCCAAATGCTTACCCAGAATTATTTCAGTTTACAGATACCTGCAAAGTTGAATATACTAAAAGTCCTAGAAGGAATCTCATTTTTGTTTGATATTATTTTTAAAAGCACTTTGTAGTTTATTCCCATTTTTCTATGTGACCCCCTCAGTTTTAAGTATTTTTAGTTGCTCTACCTTCCCAGGGGACTAACATAGAATTCAAACATTAGATTTGAAGAAAGCTCTATCGCTTTCTAAATATTTGCACTTGTGCAAGACATCTCCTTTATGTGTACCAGTCCACTATGAAGAAATTAACATGAAATGATCTCCAAAATCTGTGCTAATGCAGGGATTCCACTATCATTCATCAGTGTGCCCATAATATTTTACAAATATAATACATGTTTCCAAGGGGTTCCTACTTAAGAATCCTAGGATTCTTTTCCCACCAGGTGTTAGCTGGATAGTAAGCATCCATTAACTATTGTCTGGAAGATTAGAAAGTTTATTAATCAAATTCCTTGAAAACTGGACACAATTATGTGTATAGATACTCTAATCTTCCTTTACATTGATAAGTTTAAAAGTTCAAGCCCAATGCTGTAATTTCACATGGGGAAATTTGGTCATAATTGTTTCTCTTTTAAATAATGGAGCATTCTTAGTATAATACTTGAACCTTCTAATCATGTGTTGAGTGCTTTGTATTAAGGATTAAACAAAAATAAAGAAAAATGTCTTCTCTCATTTTTTTTTAGAAAGCCTCATGCAGCCTCAGAGGTTGGCCATTTCTCTTAGTAGATGAGGCCAGTCTTGACCTCCTAATCCTCCTAACTCGACTTCCTAAGTGCTGAGATTACATGCATATGACACAGCTCTTGGTTAATGAGGTTCTAGAAATAAAATCCAGGCCATTGTGCATGCTTGACAAGCACTCTACCAACTGAACTATGATCCCAATATTATGTCTTTTTTGAATAACTGTTCCCCAAAATACTCTTGTGTATTGAGATCTTTTAGGAACTATTATATTAAAATACAGATGAACCAAGAAACACAATAACTCTAATCATAAGTATAGATGACTGTAAATTTTACCACAGTTTCACAAGTGAGCTATATTCAATTAATCCTTGGGAACATCTAGAATTACATACCTGATTTTACAACTTGAGAGACTTCCTTTCCAGATATATGAGCCATGTGTCCTAATATAGAAAAAATAGCAAACCCAGCAAACACACTAGTAAGGCAGTTTGTCAAACAAACTACAATGGCATCAGAGTAACAGTTGTTGTTGAACTTGTTGTAAGATGATAGAGCGACTAGGCCACCCCAAGCCACGGAAAGGGAATAAAATATCTGGGTGGCAGCATCTTTCCAAACCTGTAAGAGAAATTTCAAAAGTTTAAACATGTTCTCTTAAATTTTACTCATGTAAAAGAATTCATAAGTAAATATGAGTGTATATTATAAAATAATGAAATGAATGTCTAAATGTCAACCATCAAGAGGAAGAAAACAATGGTAATGGTATGAGTCTTTAATGTCTCCATTAAAGTTTTTTTTCATATTCCACTAGTAACTGTGAGTAGCAACTCCTGCATATCAGATATTTATGCTATGATTCTTAACAGTAGGAAAATTACAGTTATGAAGTAACAACAAAATAATTTCCTGGTCACCACAACATGAGGAACTGTATTAAAGGGTCGCAGAATTAGGAAGATTGAGAATGACTGCATTAGCAACACTTTGTCAGAATTTTTCATTTGACCTAATAGAAGAGATTTGAATTAAGACATTGATTATAACCACTACTTACCAAAAGTTAGCATTTTCCTATTTTCCACAGGATTTACTTTTTGTAAAATTTCTCTTCACATTTCAAATACTTCACCTTTTGGATTATTTGCTTTATTCCTTTCTAGGAAATTCTCTCTCTCTTCTCTCTCTCTCTCTCTCTCTCTCTCTCTCTCTCTCTCTCTCTCTCTCTTTCTCTCCCTCTTTCTCTCTCTCTTTCTCAGTCTGAGTCTCTTTCTCTCTCATTGAAATGGGGTTTTTGCAGACGAAGGTGACCTGGGACACATAGAGTGCACATCTGTATGCTTCTGCCTCGAAAAGTATGTAGAGGAATTTAAGTTATGCATACCATACCACATCTAGGAATTCATTTTGAAATTGAATTCTAATCTTTTGTGTGTTGTATCTTGAGGACTTTCCCCTCCCAATCTGTTGCTTGTTTTTGTATTCTTCACTTTGTGTCCTTCAACAATCCAAAGTATTTTTTTATTGCTGTTTAATGTAGCTGAAATTATTCAGCTTTGCTTACCTGTGTGTTTCTTCATCTGGGTTGTCTGAAAACAAAGCTTAGCTCAAGGTTATAAGGATGTTATTCTATAACTTCTAAATGAAACACCTTTGTTTACAATATCAAAATTGCAATTCCCCTGCGATGTTATACATATGTTACACATAATTTATGCTACACATATTTGCACTTCGCATTATGTTCAATTGTTTAAGGGTAACCAACATTACAAATTATATCAATGACATCTAATGGATAATCTGTCCTTTCCAGATTGAAATGAGTTGTTATTTCTACTACATACCAAGCTTTGTTTCTTCATAAATATATTTTTGAGATTATTATTCTCTACCACCTACCTGAATATCTGTCCCTATGCTAAAACCTCATGATTCTAATTACTACAGTATTGTAGTGCTTTTTGTATTACTGTCTTCTATCTGACATGAGAATTTGTCCACACCTGTGTTGGGGGAATTTGATTGGAATTCTATTGATTCTATATACCAATGTGACATTAAAAACACATTAATTCTTAGCAAGGATGTTACTAGACATCCCACCCGGCTCTGTGCTCTTTGTCTGATTCCACTCCTTATCATTACTGACATCACAATTTGCCTTTCCTTCCTCTTTGTTAAAGGCCAACAGTTAAGTCAGAGATTTTCAGGATCATCTAGGTTAAGATTGGTAGGTGCAAACAATAACAACAATAATTAAAAATGCCCCACGGTAGTTATAATTGTTATTATGAGAAACAAATATCACCAAGTCTTTAGAATGTGCTTTTCATGCTAGATTATAGCATGGCTGCATGGAGGGAAAAAGATAGATGGGTAAATACATAGATAGATATATACAGAGAGGCACACATAGACCAAGATAATCTCATTTAGATATTGCAAAATCAGATTAGAAAGAAAATGTCCTTATTTCTTTGGTTCCTATTCATCTTAAGAGATGAATCTCATACTTATGTTGTTCGCTGAGCCTCAGCACCTAATATGTTATGCATGCATATGTGATGTAGGGGCTCATGTGGATGAGTCAGATCAGTATTGAGAAAGAATGCTAATCTGAGGGAAACTATTGTCATCACCAGCAAACCCAAAACACATGGAATGTGGTCATTTGCTCAGGGGAGTGGAGGAGTAAGAGAACTAAATTGCATGTTTCACAAGGAGCTTTAACTGCAGGTCTGATTCTTTCTTAATAATAGAGACACAGAAACAGAGACAAATGTAAAATGCTTATGAAAACTTCAAGATAGTTTTAGGAATTATAAGGTCCAAGTGTCTGAGACTTTAAAAAAGCCACTTAAGTGTATCAAAGGAGCTTTCCTCTGTGATCAAAGTTATGAGGTTTAAGGAAAATGGAAGGTATGGGCACTTCTTAGGGGAAAATGAAGTAATTATATTGTGATGTATCACCAATAGTTAAAATAATTGTATACCAGTTCACATTTACATAAGTTTTCTATTTCCACAACATATTAACTTATTTTTTATTGGGTTTAATAACCTAAAGAAAATGGTATCCTAGTTGGGAATAGATTAGTAAATGGTTAAAAGAGTAAGAGCTAAGACCAATTAAGAGAAGCATTAAAATAACCTGTGAACACATCAAACACATTAATCTCCAAGGCTATAATAATAAAGTGTCATGGTTCTACAATAATTAGAATTGGTGTGGTTAATCATGGAGTAAAAATAATTGGTCACAGCAAAAGAAAACAAAGATCATAAATTTACATTTCAATTTTTCAAAAGTTAAATGATAGGTTACCATGACTGAAACTGATCAACTTGACATTGGTTACCAAAAAGAAAAAGCCTCTACAGTTAAATAAATATCTGGAAGTAAGCATGTTTTTTATGTAAAAGACAATTGAAACAAACTATCCACTGTGGATAGCATTACTAATGTGGCAGGTAATATTAGCATAGTTTTAATATAAGATAAATATGTGCCAAGAATTTGATGCAACTACAAAAATGTGTAAGCCTCCTTGGGCTTGTATAAGTTTGTTATTAATGTTCTGCACAGTTATAATTGTAAAACATTTTATGCACCCATGATATACAGTCATTATCTGGAAATAGACTACATTCAGAAAAGAATGATTCAGGGACTGAGAGATGACTCTGTGAATAAGAACACATTCTGCTAAGTGTGATGACCCAAGTTCCCTGAAACTGAATAGTGGGAGGAGAGAGAATTGACTCCACACTCTGCCTTCCACATGTACACCATGTCAGGTGACCCTCCAACACACAAAATTACAATTTTAAAGTACAGTTTTTTTCAAATTTTTATTCAATTTATGTGTTCATAGTTCTAGTAGAAGTGATCATTTTATTTCTTGAATACTTAATCCACAATAAGCTTATGTTCTAGCTGAGCAAAAGTGTGTTCCACTGAACAAAATTTGATCTGCCCTTTGATATATTAACTTTTCAAGTTAACCAAATGTATAATCAGGTATTCTTTAAAGCTACAAAAAGATTGTCCAATAAGTCCCATAATCTTAGCATTAAATTTGTAGGTGCTAAAGTATGAAGTACTGTTTTATTCAAAATAGTAAACCCAAAAACCTATGGTCAAATAGAAAAAGTTACAATAGCACAGTGAACTTTAACACGATTAATTAATTGATCTTACTTCCAATGAGAGTGTTAGTGTCCTTACATATCTCAATCTGACATCCTAGTGGATATAAACTAATCATTTAACTACATATGCTTTTGGAAGATACTATAGTATAATATATGTGGAACAAACTTCATATATTTGCCTTTATGTTTTAACTTGTCAGGTAATTTTAAATCCAATCTTACCTCAGCTTCTCTGAGTTTTGTAAAATTTGACTGTGCTCCAATGTAATATGAAATGCCTTTTGATGCTCCCTCCAAAGTTGCACCTCGTATTAACAGAATGAGGAGAACCACATATGGGAAAAGAGCTGTAAAATATACCACCTACCAAACAGAACAAATAAAAGTTAATGCCACTTTTAAATCATGGTATAGAATTTTCTATGTGCAAAATTATCAGCCAATTGCCATTCATCAAGTAATTTATTCCAGCTTTCAAAAGATAAGTCCAATGATATAAGCACCAAATTTAGCCTAATTTCCTTCCTGTGTTCTCACTACTCTAAAATGGATCTGAGTTTAAAAATGCTTTGGTACAGGGAGCAGTATTTCTAAGGTTTGTGCTGTAAACAATACATCAGCAGTGATCATATGGAATCTAGGTGGAATGCTGACCTACATGGATCCTTATAAATGTCTGAGGGGAGGGACTGAATGTCTCCTTTCAGTAAACTGGGATGAAAATTGTAAAACTGGTAATGATGAATATATTCATTCCCGAAGACAAGGAAAATATCTCCTAGTACATGTCCAGAGCTCAGTGAATACTTGTTACGTAAAGCTTCCGGTAAGAGAAGTTGATAAGATACACATATGCAGACAACTCCTGTCTTAGATAACACAGGGTTTCGGATGAAAAATTGCCCTTGAGGCTGGCTACAATAAGGTGCAATTTCTTTGATCCATAGATATCCTATGTTTGATAATAAGCCCAAGGAGATGATTTAAATAAGTCACCGGAAAGACCAATAAGTTCCAAGTGCTGATTAAGCTGCCTTTAATGGACCTTTTGCAGGAAAACTTATTGCATCATAAATGAGCCAAGGGTTTAAAAGCTGTGCAAATGGAGCATATAGAAAAGTTTCCACTGAGTTTGAAATATTGCAGGTTATTTTTTCAAAAATAACATGTGTCATTGCATTAATTCAACATTCTGGGTATTGTATTAGGAATACAACAGTAAGTGTGTGAAATTATTTCTGCACTTGAACTTTTAGGTAGCAACACTCTGGTCAGTTAAAAACATGTAAAAACACACTTTTCCAGATAGTTGCAATTCTTCACTGGGAAATGTTTCTGCTGCTCTTTAAGTTTCATCTAGCCTCTCTGAATTTTTTAAACCTGAAGGGGAAAAAGGAGAATGTTTCACAGAACAGAAACCTTGAGTAATAGAGAAGAGTCTACATCCATTAGGAAAGGCTAATTCAAAGGAATGGTTGCATATCATTTTTCTCTGTGCTTTCAACTGATGCTTTTTTCCTAGTAAACATTCTACAACAAACATCACATCATTCAAGCTTCTTATTGTGGAACAGAAAATTTTAAAATACGTTGTCAAGTCTCAGAATACTGTATCAGTTAGCAGAGTCTGAGTTTTAAACAAGTGCACAAGGCTTATATTCATTTTTGCTTTTTTAACAATAATACTGACCCTATGTATATGCATAAAACTAGAATGTCTTATGTAAACTATCTTTCAAGAATTTGAATGTTACTATTATTCAAAACTCTGTCAATAATTTTATATTTGATGAAACTGCAATGAAGTTGGAAAGTAACTACATCACTAATGAGTCTTCCAACTTACCTTGCCAGAGGACTTTATGCCTTTAAACAATGCTGCTCCAACTATGAGCCAAGCTAGAAGAAGACAAAGTGCTAAATACCACACAATTCCTCCAGTTTCATCCATTCCACTTGACCGCTGAAGTGTCACTTTACTGAAATACATAAGACCTTTTATAAGCACAGAATCAATTCTCTTTGTTCAAAAAAAAAAAAAAGGGAATCAATGGGCTTTGTAATGTGTTTCATCCAAAAGGAAAGTCCAGTATTGTAGCTTAGTCTTGTAAGCCTTCTATTGATAGATAATGTTGTGTGAAGGGATAAATATTATTCCTTCAAAAGTCAGGCTTTGAACTACAAGGTTACCCATAGGCAGTCCAAATTTCAAGCACCTAGAATAAAGCGTTACTCAAGATTTTCTCCCAACATTTTAATCTCCTTTACATAAAGAAATTAAACTTTTATCTGGGAGCTTCATGTGACTCAATATGGGATTTTCTCAAAATACATTCATGAATAACACTTATTCAAAACTTGTGCATACAAACAAACTAAAATGGCTTTATTCTACATACCTTCAAAGATTTTCTGGAAAACTCCATTATTTCCCAGAGTAACATGCATGAATTTGTAATTTCAGTTCTGAAGCTAGAGAGATGGTTCAAAGTTAAGAGTACTTTCTACTCTTCCAGCAGACATGAATTCGGTTCCCAACAGGTGTCTCAGAACCACCTATAATTCCCGCTCCAAGGAGATCTGAGACCTCTGTCCTTTGCAGGCATCTGCACTCTCTCCTCCATCTGTCTCTGTCTCTGGTTCTGGCTCTGTATCTCTCTCACTCACACACTTTAAAATAATAATAATAATCTCAATTTTTAGCACAACATTTCAAATATTTAAAGGCTGAAAATGTTAAAGCACCATGCAGGAGAAAACATTGAGCTTCCTCAAAAAAAAATTAAAAATATATCCATCATATCACCTACGAGTCCCACTATTTAGTGTATATTCCAAAGAAATGATTTCATGATGTCCAAGAAACAACAACACTGCCAAGTTTATCACATTATTCATAAGAGCCAATACAAACAACTTAAGTGTCCATCAAAATGATGAGTGGATACAGAAAATATAATACACACACACACACACACACACACCTCACTAGAATACTATTCATCCATATATATTTATTTTACACACACACACACACACAAACACACACACACATACACTCTTAAATATAACCATCTCAGTATGCATAAGACTACCTGCTTGTATGTTTCAGGACTGAATATTTGGCACTGGTGTGCTCCTTCCTGAGGACAACCAGCTCTTTTGTTCCCAGCTTTACTTGTTTTTCTATCATTTTTTTGTGTAAGGTTGAGGCCATGTGGGATTTCCCCCATCCACTTAGTCATGTCCATTGGTTTCATCTTTGTTCACCTCAGGTTTTTGGCAAATGTGTCATATGTGTAGCTTCTGACTTTATCAGGAGACATAATCTCACAGCAAACTACCCAGTCCTCTTGCTTTTTACAATCCTTTGGCCCCTTTTGTGAAATGTTCCCTGAGCTTTGAATGTGGGAATGGTGGTTGATAATTTTACGACTTGTTCATTGTATTTTATGTGTATGAAGGTTTTCCCTGACTATGTGTATATGAGCATATATGTATGCAACCATGCCCATGAAGGCTAAAAGAGGACAGCAGATTCCCTTGAATTGAAGTTACAGTTATAAGCCACCATGTGGGTCCTAGGAACCAAAATCTGGTCCTCTTATAAAACAGTAAATGCTCTTAACCTCTGAGTCATCTCTCCAGGTCCTACTTGTTTATCATTAGAATTATCATTATATTCATCTTTATTGTGTGTCTGTATGCACATTCCACTGCACATGAGTGGTAGTAAGAGAACACCTTCAGGAATCAGTTTTTCCTTCTATCATGTGGGTTCTAGGAATCAAACTTGGATTGTTAGGTTCAGAGGCAGGCATTTTTATGGGCTGAGCCATCTTACATGCACTGTAATTCTCTAACTTTAAATTTTAACTGGTAATTATCAATAAACTATTACTTAGGTGTTATATGCAGCAAACATTGTACTTGTAAAACATACATTGTCAACAATGAGCTAACTTTTCAAGTAGTTCAACTCAGCTACAACAGGTAAACATCTGAACCAAATGAAGTATTTATCTGTCATGGTTCTCCTTTTATTTATGGGAATTAAAATGAGGGAAGGTAAAGAGAAATATGTTCAACTCACAACATATACTTATATTTGTAACATATACGTTACAAAATAAAATGAGTAATAAAAGAAGCTGACCAATATTTTATCATGGTTCACAAAGCCTTTCAATAACACCTGTTTAAGAAGTCAATCAATACTTACTCCCAATACTGTTCACTGGGAAGTTGTCCTGGCCGAAAAACTTCACTACCATTCAAGCAGGTCAAGTTGTTGATATTTACCCAGCTTATATTCATAAACATCTCTCCTGCTCCTGTACTCACATTACATCCAACTGCTAAAAAAATGATATATAGATAGATAGATAGATAATCAGATAAATAGATAGAGATAGATAGATGTGCTTAATTGTAGAATAATACTTTTGTGGAAAGAAAATGGGTTTTAATGGGAAATACTTCCATTCTTATTTAAATTTTTACTTGGTAAAGGTAGAATAAATAAATTATAAATATAATAGAGCATGTTACGTTCAATGCATCAAATCTTCTCTACCACCAACTGGTGGTACTAGCTATCTATTTAAATTGTGGTCATTATTACAGTAATAATGGCTATAGAATAACAGGTCTCAGTTGAGAATGAGAACTTAAAAGAACTGTCAGTAGGGAAACTTGGCTAACTTGTATAGATATGCTGGCCCCTTTAAACCTTTCCAAAGCATTAAAGCTTCACCTGATTGGTATGAATAATACCAATTTCAATATCCACCAGTTTTAATGTTAAGTATCTCCTATTGACGTTGGCAGCACCTAATCTTTACAACTACTACTTAATGCTGTTAAATATAGCACACTTTTTTTTCAAAAACCACTCTCCCATTTCTTACTACCTCCTGATTATAACATAGGCTTTTAAGAATTACTTCTAGGTGTGGCTTTGCCTTTTGTAAAAGTATACTTTAGCTGGTTAGAAAATTACTTATTCATTTGAACTTATTTATAAAATATAACAGAATTATACAGTAAACAATATTTTAAAAGTTAGGCCAATGAAATTTACCAATTGGTGATCTGTTACAGTTATTGTCTGCCCAAGAAGAACAATTGGCCCATGGTAGTACACTTTGAAAAGAAGCAAACAGGTAGTAAAGACTGTAGGCGATTATGACGTTATAATAGATTGTCACAAAAATGGATATCAGGACCATCGTGATTCCCACTCCTGGAAAAAAAATAGTTAAAAGGTGAGATTTGTTTTGCTAATCCATGAAAAAAAAAGCTAAGTTCAATTTCCACAAAATCTTTACTATGCTAAAAGACCTTTCACATAAATATATGTTGTAATTCAGCAAAAAAGGTGTGCCTGAGGTGGGTGTTACTCTCTCAATACCTTTTTACCCCCAAAATCTAAAGGGCTTTCTTGTTATGATTTTTAATTGTATTTGCACTTATGCACACCTGTGACTTTGTGCTCACAAGTGTGGGTGCCTGCAGAGGATTGGATGGATTCCCTGTTGCTGGAGAAACAGGAAGCTTTGAAATGCCCAGTGTTGGGGCCTCTAGAAGAGCAGTAAGTGTTCTTAACTGCTGAGTCATCTCTTCAGCTCCTTCTTCCTAAATGTAAAATAATTTTTCTAACTGTCTTTTGGAGAATGTTTTTCAGTTGGTGAGAAAAGTTTACTACAGCTAAGGGGGAAACTTAGACTTAACCATAAAATTCACAAAATCCTGTATCAATCATTCCTTCTCAATGAGTCTTCCAATCCCTATCATAGCAGGAAATGCAAGTATTAAAAAGCTTTAATACTCATGGTCTATGGACTAATCCACTAAAATTCATATCTCTATCTGTGAAACAATAGTCAGATGGTAAAGGAAGATTTGGATGTAACATCCTTAAGGCCACACTCCAGTACTTCTACAAGAAAGTATGCAGAAAATGTACAAATTAAGAAACTATCTGAATTTCAGCCTCCAAACTTTCTGTAACTCAGTAAGTTCACAATGCACTTTAGCATAGTGATTATAACTCCCATTAATACTAGTATTTGAAATAGTGTCTCCAATCCTCCAGGAAAGCATCCTATTTACTTCATTATTAGTTATTTTCAATGTTGCATTGAGGCTTTTGCCAATAGTTTGCAGTGACTAGTGAGTGCTAAAATGATAGTCTTCAGAGATAAAGGAAGTCAATGTTTAACAACAATCAAGGAATTTTTTTTTTCAATCTGGACTATGCTCCTACAGTAAGTATCCAAGAGAAAATGGTGGCCTGCCCTTCTGCTTTCCTTGGTGAGGTTTTAGAAAAAGATATGCAAAGACTAAGACAAAACTGAACAAGAAGTATCTGAAAAGGCAGATAGTTGGGGCTGGAGCATATTGGGTAGCTCACAACTTCCTGAAGCACCAACTTCTAGAGCATTCAATGGCTTCTTCTGGCCTCTACAGGCACTCACACACATGTGACATATACTTATGTGCACATTTACAGAAATCAAACTAAAAATAATACGTGTTTAAAGGCACTGCCTTAAAGCTAATGCACAAGAAAATATGTGACAAAATAATGCAAAAGGTGAAAATTGTCAAATAATTGCATCATAACTATCATCTTTTTAGTGTTCTTCCTAACACTTTTTATCTGTGCTCCCAGTTAAGAAGAAAAGTTAACATGTGAAGGCTGGGGAGGTGGCTCTGTGGGTACAATGTTTGCTGTAGCTATAGAGGAATAAGTACCCGAGCTTAATTTCTAGCACCTGTGTTTTTTTATTATATCTTTTATTTTACGTGTCCATCCCAGTTCCCTCTCCCTCCCTCCCTCTTACCCTCTCTTCCCCCTCACATGCACCTGTGTTTTTTAAAAGCCTATTATAATAGTGAGCATCTAAAATCCCATCACTGATGAAGTCGAGACAGCATCTCTCCAGTGCTAACTGTCCATCCAGTCTAGCCAAACAATGAGCTCAGGTTCAATGAAAGACCATTTCAAAGTAATTAAGGAACATATGTGACATTGACTTTCATGCTCCACATGCATGCACACACATACAAGTACATGCACATGAATATGTATATGTGTATACACAAAATATATACAAAAGAAGCAATGTCATCTTTGCCCTAGCATGTCACATTTTACACTTTTAGTTGAAAGGGAAAACTATACTTTTATGTACTGTGTGATGCTTGTATTGCATGCATATTGTAAAATGAATTAATCATCTGATTTATAAGCATATTTCCCCAGATAAGTATCCTTTTATTTTGTAAGAATACTTAGTGAACACTGTATTTTTGAGATTACAATATATAAATATAATATTGTCTGTCATCAACTACAGAAAACATGCTGTGATTCTCATTTTTTTTCAGTTCTCCAATTTATAAATCATAGATTTTGGCTTTCTTAAACTTGTTTTTTTTTTCTGAGACAGGGTTTCTCGGTATAGCCCTGGCTGTCCTAGAACTCACTCTTTAGAACAGGATGGCCTCCAACTCAAGGATCTGCCTGCTTCTCCCTCCTAAGTGTCTGGATTAAAGGCATGTACCACCACACCCAGAAAATGTATTTGTCCTAACTATAACTATATCTTTTTTTTTTACAAATATGGCTTCTTCCTTCCTATCCACTTCTGCCTCTGTAAGCATTCTCTGCTCAACTTCTATGAGATTATATGTGACAGGGCTTTGACTTCTCTTTTCTTCCACAAAGTGAAAACAGTTATATGTGTATCTAGACCTACAATCATGATGATGAAAAGTCTTAAATACAAACCTTGAAACAATGGTAGAATCCTCCAAACTGAAACTGGACCTAAGCTAGCAAACTGACCCAATGAACATTCCAGGAAGAACAAAGGTAAACCAGCCAATGCTAGCATAATTGCATAGGGTATCAAGAAAGCACCTAAAAAGCAAAGAGATAAATATACAATTACATCTGAAAGTCTTCACGGCACTTTGACAAGGAGCATAACATTTTAAAGTGTCCTAATACAGTTGAATTGGATGGATTTGGTTTGAGGTCCAAGATTTATTACTTTTAGTTTATTATCTGTGTGTTTCCCATTAATTAAATGAGAATGGAAATGTGACTTAGTGAAGTTACTATAATTACCAAAACACTCCCTTATAAAAAAAAAGTCAGCCAGATCAGAGACCATGCAGCCAAATAGATCTACATTAAAATTCTGGGTCTGTTATCTATCAGTTATTTGATGGAAGAAGATTTACTAACAAGTGAACTTTTCCTTCTTATACAAGAGGGGCACAATACTAACTCATCAATTTCCATTATGAGTTCAAATACTGCACCTCTAGCAATTACAAATCAAATTTACTAATTTGCTGATCAAGCAGTGGCAGCACAGCAAGCACGGAACACGTTTCGGTGTTAGCTCCCCTCCCTCCCTTCCTTTCTCCTCTTTTCTTTCCTCCACCCCCCACCCCCACCCACTTTCCCTTAACAATCATGGGTGACTTTTAAAACTTAGGCTGTAAATGGTAAGTAGGGATCAGAATGCAAATTACTGCAATTAAGTTCATAATTCTTTTAAAAGTCACAAGGTTCTTTGGTCAATGTTAATCAGTCTTCTTCAGTTAACTTCCATTATCACAGCAACTAATCTCCCACATAAGAATGTCCAGCCGCTCCCATCATTTTAAACCTTTTGTTTTACTGTCCATATTTGGTTTATGATGCTGTGAATTAGAATTTTTCCCAGACTACCAGCTGAAACAGAGACATAATGTTAAATATCCTAGCCAAACAATGTAGAAATCTTGGCAGCACTTAATAAAAGCAAGATGGAGAGTGATGAATGGGGACAGGCTTTCTAATTGTGTACACTTCTGTCACAACTATCCTTAATTATTTTCCTTGCTACCCACGAATTAAAATGCATTTAGAGAATGTAGATTATCTATCACCTGAATGATGTGATCTTTAAAATTTGAGTATTGATGTGTGGTACTAACTTTTAGAGCAAACAGGAAAAAGAGGCAATAGCTTAGGAAAAAATAAAATTATTTCACTTGCAGTGCATTTCAAAATTCTCTATTAAAATGAGTTTAATTCATTTCCTACAAATGTATGATAATTATTGGGTGAAAGTATGATGTCAAGTTACAGGGTATATCTTATTGTAAACACAATTATAAAAAGCTCAAAGGAGCCTTAGGACATAGACACCAAAAAGGCAATGCTTATTGACTCTCTTTCCTGCTAATACTTAATGCAAAACCAACACTGGATGACCTAAGTCCGATAAGCTATCCACACTTAAAGTCTTTAATAAACAGAGCTCCTTTCTTAAGTCTCTGAGGGCCTGTGTGAATGTTATAATACACTCAATTAACAAACAAGGTGGTTGAAACATCACCACACACAATTCTATTGTGCCAAGAGAAAAATAATTATACTGGCAGAATTTCAATGCTGTCCAATTATGAAATATAAGCACATGTCACCTCTATACTTCTAAGAGAACCTGTAAGCACAAGTAAGTTAGAATGGTGTAAGGCAAAAGTTGTTTCTACATTACTAGACTATTGTGCAATTCATTTTCTTTTCCTTTGTGTGTCACCTTAGTTATTTTTGTGCTCTGATTGAGCCTACCTTAATGATCTATCATGCAATAATAAAACCACATACCATTGAACAAAATTCTATTTATATATTATTTATATTCTATATGCCAATGGAATTTGAAATATGTAGCTGAATATTAAAACTTAAAATATTAATTAATAATCATTTGGTTAAAAATGCCTTACTCTACTCTAGCTAAGAAGTTTCCTGGAGCTTTTTAAAAAGACCCAGATTTTCCACCTTTTTCATACTTCTAACTCAAGCAAAGTTCAACTTGAGTCTCAATACATTTTTGAAAGTCCTAGTGAATATTATACGATATCTCAAAGCAACTCAGAAGTACTTCATGTAACACTTTAATCAAGTTTATATCTGAGAGTTTTCTGAAACAGTTTCCAACCTTGAGCTAGTATCTCACTGTCAATTAGTAAATGTTTCACTTGGTTTTCATCCTCTTTACTAAGTCAATGCGTCATATAACTCTCTTTAGCTCATATCCCATTATATACAAGTGTGAAGTGAAATTCTCTCTAATTAGATCATATTGTATGACATATATACTTACATTGTTATATTACATAAATATTCATATATACACACACATATATATATACATATATATACATATATATGTTATGCAACATGTCACTGGAGGAAAAAGAACAGAAGGAAAAGCCTACCTCCACCATTGGTGTAGGTCAGGTATGGGAATCTCCACACATTTCCCAATCCCACTGCATATCCAACCATAGATAGAAGATAATCTGATTTTTTGGACCAGTTGCCACGGTCCATATTTTCATCATTTGCACCAACATGGAAGTTCTCAGATGAAGCCGTCACTTTCTAAAGAAGGAAAAAATTATCAATATCATCCCTTTCTGTTAAGAATTCAAAAGACACATAATTTCACAAGTCCCCAGAGTTGTAGAAAGTGGGGTGGCTGTGAAAAACTCATGGGGCATTCTTTTCAAAATCTAGGAGATTTCTTCCATCCAAGTACTAACCATAGACAAAACTTCTGCTGGTAGCTACCTTGTTTTTGTCTTGCAACTGTAATTTTATTTTCTTTTGTAAAAATAAGCTAGTAGTATAAATTGCTCCAGAAATCATAAAATTGAAATGTAATACACACAGAAGAAGCTTGTGAGGTTGGAGAGGGAGGGACAGAGGGTCTTAGAATTTTGGCAGATTGTACTAGCACCAACTGAGGTCACAGGAGCCAGACAGTGAGAACCGGGTTCGGCCTGCCACTCTGAGACTGCGAGGTGGGAAAACTCAACTGGGCACCAGACAGGAACATAGACTTCTTGGAGGCAGGTACCTTGAGTCCCTTTGAATGCAGGGGTGGGTAGCTATTTTACTTAGCATTTCCTTCTTTGAATTAAAGAAATCTTAAGTAGATACTTTTACTGCCCCTTCAACTATCCGAAGTTTAATGTCACACCAACATGAAGGGCAAATGAAAGTAGACAAGTCAAGTGTCAAATACAATAGATTTGAATATAAATTAGGAAGAATCAACATTCCAGAGATTATAGCAGATCATTGAGAAGTATTAAATGTAGATTCCAATTAGATGAAAATCAGTCCACACATTTTTTATGTGCTGATAGCTTGCCTCCCTGCCTTATAGCACATAATTACTGTTTTCCAAAAATCATGGAATAATATGCAGAGACAAGTTTTCCTGTCCCACCAGGAGAAGTAACTCTTTCTGTGTGTGTGTGTGTGTGTGTGTGTGTGTGTGTGTGTGTGTACCTTGTACCTGTCTCTGTCTCTGTCTCTCATTTTCTCCTTCTCCCTCTACTTGGGGAGGGGTTCTCTTCCAACCTGTCAGCTGCTTGAGTATGGAATGCTCCCAGGGTCAGATAAGGACAGTTCATTTCTCTGCAGCATATGAATACAGTGTAGAGAAACAGAAAGAACAGCCTTCTGTAGGTGTTCCCAAGGAACAGGGTGAGGTGCTCCTAAGTCTCCTAAATACCAGCATAAAAGTTGTTTTTCACATCGACTTTGTGGGAACATAGCAGGCATACTTGAGAAGAGTTGAAGAGAAAGAAATATGTAGAAAAGGAACGGCTACAGAAAGCATAAGCATAATTTGAGATTTCTCCGCCCCCCCAATTGTTTTTCTTGTCTGTCCCTCTACACCTCCAGAAGCTGCCAGACCCCTACCTCCTTCTCTCTGCACTTGAAGAAGCTCGGGCACTTCAATCTGTCCATGGTTCACTCACTCCCTTGGCTCTCCGCCTTGCCTCTTCTCACAGTCAGGCTGAGCTCGACTGGTGGCAGGTGCACACTCCCCCGTTGCTACCTGCCAAAGTGAGCCACCTTGCCCAGGGGTGGGGCCATTTATGGAGGGAAGCTCTCTCTCCTCCCACTCCCTGACGCCCAGTCCTTTCAATTACCGGAAGGGACCAAAGTGAGCCTCTGGTTTTTCCCCCAGGTAATCCTGAATGTAGCAATTCCCTGCCCCAGCCTTAGGAAAAAAGGGCTGGGCTGTGAGCGAGCTGTGCAGCCAAAGAAGACTGACAACTTTGACTCAGAGCTGTGCAGGTGCCTTAGCAATCTTGCCTTCTTTCCTGGATACCTGACTTCTCCTAAACTTGCTTCTCAGTCAGGTCTCTGTCCTGAGGCCAAGTGCTGATCTCCCCTGATGCTGCCGGTGGAGAGACCCAATCTGTGGGGCTCATGTTGTTTTGCTATGAATTTTGTGAACAGACCAGACAGCTCTGGGCTTCTGATTGTCCCAAGTTTTGCCCCTCAGTAAAAAGCCCTTCGTCACGTGGGTCAAATGCTGCTCCCAAAGGGGAAAGCCCCTGAATTGGGCACCTTGAAATGTAGCCAGTTAAGATAAAATTACCCAGCTGCCTGAAAAGAGCGACTTTGAATCTATGTCTTGAGCTCCTTTCTCAGCCTTTGGGACAGTTTTGCCTTTTACAAGGATTTCTTTGTGTGGTATTTCAAAGAAGCCAAACACAAACAAATTATTGAGCAGGTTTATGGGAAATCCGAACCCTAACAAAGGACTTCACTCAGCCAAGAAAGGTGAGGCCTAGAAAGTAAACTTTAAGGAAACAGCCTGGGTTACCACAGAGAAGAGCTTTACTGTAATTCTGATCATGAGTATAGCATCTCCATCAAAAATTCAAAAAAATCTACACTCACCCTGACCACATGGTCAGTTTTTACCAAACTGTATAAATTCATGCAAACCAAGGAACCAGCAGAGAGTCACATTGTCATCTATGTATAGTTCCTTTGTCCCATGCTAGCTGACAATAATTTTCCATTTGCAAAAGAAATATGCCCCCAGGGGATCAGGCCTATAAAGTAAAGTAGAGATGGATATAGAGAGATTGTGAGCAGAATGTATCAATGCCTTGACCTTGGTGATGACTATCACACAAGCTGGTTTGGGATATTATATGCACACATACTTACATCACACATAAACATAAATATATGTGGAGATAAAAAAGCCTTCAAATGCCCCCTTAATAGTATTTTAGATTACTGTTATGACATAAAGACTAAGAAAGAGGAATTATTAGCCTATCTTAGCTATAGAAGAAAAGGTAGTGTGAAGGGCTTTATAAAATAGCAAAATAGTAAATCAAACAATGTTCACCCAATGATCAAAGTCTCATAGAAAGGAAAGTAACCCACCATGGGCCAGTGTAAACAACTGGTAACCAAGGAAGTAGAAGAAGAAAATAATTCATAACAGCAGGTAAATTGTGGGGAATACAACATATATAGAACAGGCAACATTACACAGTAGAGAAGTTTCAGTCACTATTGAGATTAGAACAACTAAGGCACAAAATTTACAATAAAAGGTATTTTAGTGAATATGTATTTTGTGGTTGATTGGGAAAGAACATTTGTCCCATTACTAGGCATGGCATTTCGTGACCTGCCTAATGCCTACATATTTGCATGATAGCATCTCTTGTCATTCCTTGTCACTAACTCTTAAGCTTGTGTGTCCTACCCTGTATGTGGTGTTCCTCACCTATGTGACTTTACTCATGTTATTTTTTTTTCTTCTGGAAATTCCCATCCTCCTCTATATTTGGTAAACTACTACTCAGTCATCCTTTAAACTTGTGCTTCACTGTCATCTTCTCTGAACCTTTCCACAGAGTTAGATTTCGATGCTTCTCTTCTGTGTTTCTATGCTACCCTCCATTCTTGTGAAATTGTGTTCTTCGAGTTCAAGAAGCCTCCTTAGATTCTAAGTACCAGTGCCCAGTACAGTTCAGCAAGTGAATATCATTTGACTAAGACATGTGTGTGGTAATATGGTCTTGTAATCCTACTACTTGAGAGATTGAGGCAGGAGGAGCAGGAGTTTAATGTCATCCTTGTCTACACAAGGAGTTCAAGACCTGTCTGGGTTACATGGCATTTTATTTCAAAACAAACAAAAATGTGACTCAGTTAGGCCCTTTAATGACTTTACTACCAAAGCAAAGGAAAGCAAAACTAGTGTCAGGAATTCACTATCCAAGACAAGAGACATTGCTCAGCAGTTAAGAGGATTTGTTGTTCTGGCAGATGACGCAGGTTTACGTCTCAGCACCCACATTAGGCAGCTCACAACTCTCTGTAACCCCAACTCTAGACGATCCAATGCCTTATTCTCATCTCCTAGAGCACCTGCACCTACAAGGTACACATCCAGACAATCAGGCACATAAACATCCAAAACAAGTATTTTTTAGAGGAGTTCATTTCCAAGACATCATGTAGTGATAGAGAAATATTTTGTCTCATTTTGGGGTCTAACATATCAATTGAACAAACCACAGTTGTGAAGTGTGTATCTGGAAATTAGAAGGAAGATAGAAGTGGAGCTATGAAAACATCTAGAGGGTAAAGGTGCTTGCCAACAAGCCTGATGTCCTAAGTTCAATCCTCAGGACCTACCTGGTGATAAGGAAAAAACATACTCCTAAAAGTCATTTTCTAACTTCCATATATGCATAGTGTCACACACATATGCATGAACATACACACGTGCATGAGTACATTCACACAAATAAATTAAGTTTTAACTATAGAAAATGACTGGACAAAAGAGACAGAGAAGCACAGAAACACATTCACAGGGAATATCAATGAGCACATGCGGGATCTCTTAAGAGAAATATGTTGATAGTTGGAGTAACAAGAAATAAGGTTGGAGAAAGAGTGGATGGACATGGGCTGTGCAATGAAAACCTAAGCAATGGTCCAACAGGCAATAGCAAACTGATGACAAGCTCTGGTTTGGCTGTGAAAAAAAAAAAAAACCTAAGTGAAAAGTAATAACCCTTATTTACTGGGTTGTATAGTGCTGAGTTTTCAACTAAGGTCTTTCTCTTCCTTAATACATAAACAGAATATAAAGGTCTTACTGTTAGAAATAGGAAGATTTCTTTAAAAGTAAGTTGCCAGCAAGTGAAGATCCATTTCTAACTATAATTTTGTTCAGGAGACAAGGCTTATTTTCAAAAAAAAAAAAAAAAAAAAAAAAAAAAAACAAGATTTATTCACAAAAGATGGTCACAGGAATGCTTGTATAGCATGTGAAAGGTATTTGACTAAATTCTCAGAATCAGAGTGGGGGACATGGAGGAAGGGAAGGAGGGAAGGGCAGAGAAAATAAGAGAGAATGAGAAGAGAGAGAAAAGAGAGAGAGGCTATTAACTAGATCTTGCCATCAGAAAAAATATTATACCAATGAATAAATGAACAGATCATTCACACCATGCTCTCCTACAGAATATGAAGGCTAGCATGCCAAAGAAAGCTTGAAACAAAACAGTAGCTAGTGATGTCTAATCCATACCAGTTCTTTCTAAATTCAGGAGGTAAATCTCTAAAAGGTCATGATTTCTATTTTTACATTGGCTGTCACATACCACAATCCTTTCTTAAAGTTCAAACTAACTTTGTATGGAGGGGGGCATATATAACAAAAGTGCACAAGTTATGGCTGTACAACTTGATGAATTTTCACAAATCTCCTACTACTATCCAACTAGCAACATTTCAGGAAACAGTAATGCCAGCATATTAGAAGATTCTCTATTACCTTTTAACACTATAACTTTTGACAAATTGTGAGCTTTAGTACATGGAAAATGATAATGTATAGACTACATGAAAATTTATCTCTTACTTTTTCTTTTAGATTATTTTAATTCTTTTACTTTTATATACGTTGTTGTTTTGACTGCAGGTATGGCTGTATAAAGGCAATGGATTCCCCCTGGAATGGGAGTTACAGACAGTTGTGAGCTGTCATGTGGGTTCTGGGAATTGAACCCTGGTCCTCTGGAAGAGAAGCAGTGCTCTTAACCATTGTGCCATGTCTCCAGTCCCCTGTTTTTATTCTTAATTATGTGTTTTGTGCAGAGAGTATGTGCATGTATGTGCAGGTACCTATAGTATCTATAGACACCCAATGCCCCTAGAACTGGAGTTTTAGATCAGTTAGCATATTAAATGTTCTACTTAAATAAGAAGCTAAGGGCAACAACATCTTAGAAGATTTTCTGGGCATCCCTGAAGCATCAAGCTTGTTATTGAATTGGTGTTATGATAACATGAAATAATCAAGCATCACTTGATTTTCCATATCAAATAGAATATTACAAATGGAATTAAATTATATTTAACTTCTTTCTCAGTGAGACTAATATATGTCTCTGTGTGTAGTCTTTGTAAAAGATACAGCTTAGTCTACCTCTGTGCCTTCATTCTATGTGTGTCTCACATTGAGAATTTACAGGAGCCAACTCTGCAAAGTTGAGATGAAGCTGAGGCATATGAGCACAGTCAATCCTGGGTGCTCCAGGACAGCTAGATTCAAATCCAGACACATTTTCTCCAAAATATTACAGACAAAGAGTTTGGTACCTAAGGAACACATAGATGTACAGATAGCCATCAGACACAGCATACCATTTGCCTAAATCTCTTTCACCAAACTAAATCCTTAATGCGACATATTTGAATTAATTAAACAATGGAGATGATTTAGCTTTACAATTTAGTTAGTTAGAAAATAAACTAAAAGCTTTTCCTTCTGGGGATAGAAAAGTCCTTCTTCGGTGCCACAATATCCGTTCTTTCCTTCACACTGAAACTGAGTATTAGTAGCCACTAGGCGTACTCTTTAAGTTGTTAGGACCAGAGAATACTTTGCCTTGACCTGGATACTTGAAGCTATTGTAAAGAGGCATAAATGAATACCAGTAACACAAGCATTTCTCCTTTTAAATGTATTGCTGTAAGAGATGCTTGTATCCAGTTTACACACACAGTAGTTAACTTTGTCAGAAATACATGCTGTGGCTTTAAATTTAGGCCCTTAAGAAAGTAGGAGGCTGAATGTCTTGCCTTCCCACCTAAGAAAATCATTGACT